ATAACTATTTTGAAAAATGTTTCAGTGTGTGTGTTTTTTTTTTTGTCCATACAAATGAAATTCAATGAGGTCCAAAACAACACTGGACTCTGGGGAAAAATCATTCTTTAAAATATCTCATTTTGCAAAGTCATACAGGTTTGTATTGAAATGAGGGTGAGTAAATGATAGAATTTTCATTTTTGGGTGAACTTTCCCCAAAGGAGTCTGGATAATCCTACCAATTCGCACCGACCGAGCTCATTATCCCAGTCAATCTGCTCAAGCCCGCCCAGGGTCATGTGTGAGTGTGCACATGTGTATACAAGTTGAAATATGTACCTATCTGTACAACATAGGGTTCGAAGTGGGGTGAGGGGTGGCCAGGAAAGAGAAATATGGCTGAATTCCAGCGGCTCTAGACGGATTACAGCAGGGCTTGCCCTCTGAACCACAGTATGAACACAGAAGACAAATGTATGTTAGGTGCGTATATAAGTGAGTGTGTTTTTTAATTAAATGCTTGACTGGTTGTTTTGACCGAGCTTTGCGGAGACTTTACAGAACTGCTGTGAAAAACTTGAGTGGGGCAGAACACAGTGAAATCCAGTGAGCAACATGAGCTTTCAGTTGAAACAAAAGGACTATTGTATTTCCTTTTCCACTGAGAGTTTGTTTTTTTTCTTTGTGATTGTTAAATTCTCTGACCACCGATCTGTGGGACTGTTTTCCATTTAAAAAAGATGCTATGCACTGTTTACCAATGTTGCGTCTCCATCTTGGTAAGAATGTACTGATACCTCTCACGCTCTCCCTTTATTGTATCATTTTACAGTGTCCTTAAAACATAAGTTCGAGGTGTCATTTTCAACAATTAAAGTGCCTTTTTTTGAATCATGACTCGTAGTGTGATCATTTATTTGCTAACTTGTGCATTTGTGCCCATGCCAATAACTTCCACGATGAATTATATGCCATTTGTTTTCCTTTTCTTTTGCCAAACTTGCACACACAATACCACAGCTAACCCACCCACACGGACACACATGGTGCTCTTACACAAAAGATGTTTTCAGACAAAAAAGGTTTGTTTTTCTATCATGGTGGGGACTTCCCATTGACTCCTATTGTCTTACACTCTTTTAAGTGGCCTTTTTTATTGTTTTATACTCTTTGTACGGTTTTTAAATAAAATCTGAAAATACATGAATACACACACACACGTATTACAGATTTTGATTTTAAGAAATTTAATTTGTTACTTTTTAATACTTGAGTAAGGATGCATTTAAACGATCATAAGTAAAGATATTTATAATGTTACAAAATATATTTCGAATAAATGTTTTCAATATTGATGATAATGCTCATATGATAATTGATGATATCATTTCTTGAGCGCCAATGATTTATGAAGAATCATGCAACACTGAAGACGAGTAATGAAAATTCAGTTTTGGCATCACGAGAATAAATTACATGTTAAAATGTATTAAAATAGAACAATTTTTATTTATTTTTGTTATACGTGTTCTTAGTGAGTTTAAGAGACTTCTTTCCAAATATATGTATTATAATAATAATAATAATAATGTGTATATATATATATATGTATGTATGTATGCATGTATGTATGTATGTGTGTATTAAATTCTCAAAAAACAAACAATTATTAAAAATAATCCCAAAAACAAATAAATAATAATTTATATATTTTACGTATGAGCAGGACATGAAAAGTTGGGGATCACATTACAAACCTTATCAGCATGTCTCAAGAATATTACATAATGCTCACCATGTAGTAATAACTAATTTGCTAAAAATCACGCAAGTAGGATGCAAATTATATTTGTATCTCCACTAACTGAATGGGTGTTAGGTTGTTCAATTAACAAACCGCTTTAGCAATTGACCATTTCAACCAGTTGCCCAAGTCTTCTGTCATTTTACAATATTTCACAATTTTTCTTTGCACTATGGCCAAGATAAACGAAGCTCTTAAAATACAATGCCACGCAATATGCTTACAAAGCATATTCACCATTGGGATGCTTACAAAGCATATTCACCATTATGCTTACAAAGCATATTCACCCTTCCCTAAAGGGATATTTTGTCAGATGAAAACCCACATAAGTGTACACACTCAGATCCAAGATTAGGATCACTCCCCAGCTCTCGGTTCTCATAAGTCTTCTAGACAACCAGCTATGAGTCACCATCATTCTCACTTCTGCTTAGGGTCCCGATGTCTCACCATCAAAAAAAACAAAACAAAGCACACTCACAAGGCCACACACACTTACACACCATTTGACTAAATCAGCGTTGACCACACACACCAGTCTATTCACTATTAGATGTGGCCACACACACACCCTGAGCACCCAGACTGCCCTTGTTCCCGCCTGCACAAATATACCCTCACTCGCAACAACTGAAACACTTCATTACACATTCCCCTTGCCAGCGCTCCCAAGCAATCCGTCACTCATATGTGTCATCGTTAAAGCCTTTCTGCCATTCATTAAGACCACCAAGCATTCCTATTCACAAACCCAACCTTGTCCTCCCCAATTCCCAGAATCCACCAGAAAACTCCGGAATGTCACAGGAATCGCATGCAGATGCTGTCCGAATCGAAACATCTCAGCGCGCACACACAGGATTCACTTATCTCATTTATTTGTGCAGGGCTTAGAAAGAGTAAACACAAATAAACAAATGGGACAGTTGGCACGAGGAGAGCGGTGGCGGGGCTGGAGCTGGATCATCTCCTTCCTGAGAGACAATGAAGCTCTGCAATCATCCCTCAGTCCCATATCCATCTCCTCTCCTGTCTGAGACACAGAAATTAAGCCAGTTCGTGATCACTCAGACATTACCAAACTAGATTTTGACATTTTCTAAAAACAATCACACACTTTTTTGCAAAACATTTTGGTAGAGTGTAGGTGTAATTGCATAGGCATTTACCCCAATAAACAGCGATTTACACAGGTGTTTGCTCAATGCCATGGTGTTGTTATATGGTTGCCAAGATGTTCTGAGTGGTTGCCATGTGGTTACTAAATAGTTCTAGGTGGTTACTAGGTAGGTGATTACTGTCCCAAGCCAAAATAACTTTTTGTGTGTGTGAGAGGATAGCTTCTATGGGAAAGTGTGTTTTTAGTATTATTTATGTACTATTATAGTATTTATTCTTATTTTGAATTGTTTTTTTGTGTTTATTTTGTTAATTTGCGTTTTTGTAATATTGTAATTTGCTGTCATTTTGATTTATTTCATTTGCATTGTATTTTATTTATTTTTTCAGTTTTGTAATTTTAGTACTTATACTAAAATTTTATTTTAAATTTGTATTTCAATTAATGTAACAATTTTATATAGTTTTTGTTAAGCCTGGTTGTGCCTCAGAGTAACAAAAAAAAAAAAAACACAACAACAACTATTCTTAGATAAAAAGTTAAAATAAGATCAAATAAAATAAGAGATGAAGTTTAAAATAAATTATGTGATATATAGGTACAAATGTAAGATGTTAAAGAGTTAGTTCACCCAAAAATGAAAATTATGTCTTTAATTACTCACCCTCATGTCATTCTAAACCCATAAGACCTCTGTTCATCTTCGGAACACAAATTAAGATATTTTTGTTGGAATCTGACAGCTCTCTTGACCCTCCCATAGACAGCAAGGGACCTTACACGATCAAGGTCCAGAAATGTAGCAAGGACATCTGTAAAATAATTAATGTGATATCAGGGGTACAACCGTAATTTTATGAAGCTACGAGAATACTTTGAGCGCTAAAGAACAAAAATAACGACTTTATTCAACAATTTGTCTCCTCTGCGTCCCCCTAGCGCCATTTTGGAGAGTATCCACTGAACGCAAACAGCGTATGTTGTTCTGTGTCAGCTGCGTCACACGGATACGTTGTTTTCGTTCAAATCAAAGCGTAAACGACGTAAACAGCGTATCCGTGTGACACAGTTGACAAAACAGCATACGCAATTTACGTTCAGTGAATACTCTCCAAAATGGCGCTAAGGTGACGCGGAGGAGACGAATTGTTGAATCGGGGGTCGGGTTTTTTTTTCTTTTGCGCCTCAAAAAAGTACTCTCATAGCTTCATAAAATTATGGTTGAACCCCTGATGTCACATGAATTATTTTACAGATGTCCTTGCTACATTTCTGGACCTTGATCGTGTAAGGACCCTTGCTGTCTATGGGAGCGTCAGAGAGCTGTCAGATTCCAACAAAAATATCTTAATTTGTGTTCCGAAGATGAACGAAGGTCTTACGGGTTTGGAACAACATGAGGGAGAGTAATTAATGACAATTAAAATTTTTGGGTGAACTATCCCTTTAAGTCACAGTTGCAGTTATCTCACATTTCAAGATATAGTATCAGATTGTGAGATACGAATAAGGCCTAAATTGTTAGATATAAAGTTGCAATTACCTTTTTATTTCTTCTACTCTGATGCAGAAACCATACGTTACCCATCTCAAAGCATTAATGGCGCAGGATAAGTAATGTGCTGAAGTTTATTACTTGAGGTTAGAAGTTTAGAACTGTTAAGTACATAATAGCAGTGCTTGTTTTAACAAACGCTACAAGCAAAATGAACCTGAACTGAAGAATTCGAAGGGTGTGTTTTGTTCAAAGATCCGTGTAAAATTATTCTCGAAGTCATCTGTGAACAATTTAAGAAAACAAGCAAAAACACGCCCTAGACAGATCATTTCACATTGTTGCTACTTTAAGAAGCATTTGTGCTTTTTCAAAAGACAATATTCCTGATAATAAAGTTACAAAAGAATAGCTATTAAAACATTGGCCTTCAAAAGGTGTGAGAAAGTCAGAGTTCTGAAGCAATATCACATGAGACTCACCCCACAATCCTGTGGTGTTTTAAGAGACCCTCAGCAATTTCCTTCAAATACCACATTTAACACGAACCAGCGTGGGTCTGTTTCTACAGCCACCAGAGTAATTTGGGATTCTAGGGAATAAAAATGCTCATATTTCTGGAATTTTCATCATGTCCTGGGTCTTTGATTATGCAAGGTAAACCAAAAACTTGAAGCCACAAGCCATTCTTTATATATCTAAAACAAACACTTTTGACCTCCAGATGAATGCAGTCTGCATGGAATGCATCATTCAGATTTATTCAAATGGACAAAAGTTCATTTGACAATATGATATAATCACAGACATGTACAAATACTGTAATAGAAAACATTTCTCTGCAAATAAATACCTATTAAAGTTAACATCTCTTATCAATAAAATGGACACATTCTTCATCTCCGATGAGTGCTTTGGAAAAAAATTTCCTTCCAAGCAATTTGGTAATAACCGTATCGTCTTTTTGGCAAGAACAAAAAAAACAGGTTTCTTTGGATATACATGCTCATTGACACCTGTAAAAGCAGTTTACTCAGGTTTAGCATTTGTCCTCGGCCCTAACCTGACTGTTTGCATAGAAAAAGGCAAGTAGACGCCAACTAAACAGCGGTTTACGTGCTGCTTCCGGAGTTGAAAAGTTAGTTGAAGCCTACGTTCTGTAGATAAGAACATAGGAGGTCTGTGGCGTGTCCTGTTTTACATTACAATATTTCATCTGGTCCTGGTCCTGGCCTGGTTCCTTCTGCACCAATCGAGTGTTGGGTTACAGCGCAAAGAGGCTCAGCACCCACCCGGATTGCAGGAATGAGTGGAAGTCCTTCGTGCCAAGTCTCTCCAATAACCCCCCGTGTGACACAGAGGGGACCTTTGTGAAACGATCCCTTCCACTGATCAGTGAACACTGTTTAATTAACCTTTTCTCCTCTCCCTCCTCCCATATTTTTCCTAGGAGGGCAAAAGAGAAAAGCGTAATCTCTCCTTCCAACACGCCTACGGCCCCCCACACAAATACTCACACACATACACACACACCTTTTCTTTCAATAATCACAGCGCAAGAATTTATTTTTTTCCACCGCTCTATTATAACAGTTCAGAATTGCCCGTTGTTTAAAGACTGGACCAGAAATGGTCTTTCTAAGAGTGGAAGGCGGTCGGGGCTGCGTGACGGTGCTTGAGGGAAGCGGTCGGGGGACATCCTGGCGACTGGGAGCCCAGACGAGCAGGAGCGAATGGGAACAATAGCCCTCCACCACCTCCCTGCCCCTAATCCAACTCCCGGGAATTACAGCGAGTAGGGAAAGAGAGCGTTTAGAACAGGCATGAAAAGAATCAAATGCCTTTAATAGGTCATAAACAACCCAAATGCCAATGCAGGGGGGGGAAACATGCACTGGACTGGAGGGTGGAGGTTTTAAAATGCGTAGAGACAAAAAGTCAAGCAAGTATGCCAAGGAAGGGGACTACAGTACTAGTTTAGCCCTTTCATTACAGGGAGGATCTTGTTATGTCATGATTGGGTCCTCACGGACAAACAAGGGAGTTGCCTGGAGATGCTTCGCTGAGGTTGTCTGAGGATGACAGCGTGGTTACATGAGAAAGATAGTGAGGGTGATGGATGAAGGAATGGAGGGGCCCAGGTGCCCAATATGAGCATAAAGATGTCAGGGGAAATGTAAGGAGTCCCAATTGTAATGACATGAGAGAATGCTGCAACACACCCAGCAAGTGAACCGGGCCAAGAATCAATCAGATGGCACACAATGTCCAGAATGAACAGTCTGTGAGATAGTGCCGCCTGGTGGTGCCACGCGGGAACGGCAGCTTGGTTCATTTGGGAAGCTGAGTGGAAATCGGTTGTTTAGTAGCCACTACAAACTTTTTGGAAATCATATGCCACTGCTAAGACCAAATAGCTTGTTGTAATGGCAGAAAGACAGAGGGAGAACCAGGGCACTTCAACATAACTATTGAAGGCATATTTCATACCAAAAAGAACATTCTGTCATCGGTTTTCTCACCCTTGCGTTGTTCCAAAACTGTATAGACTTTTTATTCTTCTGCAGAACACAAAAGAACAGATTGTGAAGAATGTTGGTAACCAAACAGGTTTAGTTACTATTGGTTTTCACTGTAATCGACAAAAAAACCCACTAAGACTCTCTCACAAAATGCCTTATTTTAGGTTTCACAGAAGAAAAGAGAATCATACAGGTTTGGAACGTCAAAAGGATGAGTAAATGACAGAATTTTTGGATGAACCATTCCTTAAAGGCACCTTTCACAATAAAAATCAACATTGGCTTCTGTCCGGTTGAAGTCATATATAAACACTTCAAGAGTGGCATGTTATCTTCAAAACTTCCTTCTCAAAGTCTTTAGAGTGAGAAATAGAGGAACGGCACTACTGACGGCGTTTTGCTAGTATGCATAAATGAGAAAAAGTAAGTGCGTCTGTATGACTTCTCAACATGATACACCAAATCTCACCGCACTTCTACAAAAGGCGGCACATCTTCCCACAGGGATCGCTCGACACACGCAGGTTCAGACAAGACACCCTTAACGCACGTTCCCCAGATCATCTCGGGAATGTTCTCACCCTTCTGAAGTTCCTCTCGAGGTCAAACGTCACTCCGGGGATGGAAATCCTGCTAAAAAATAGCTTAAGCTACTCTTTGATGGCTGGTCTCAGTCAGTTGGTCTCCCAGCCTGATAAATACCCAAAACTCCCCAAAACCAACAACCCAGACCAGCCTGAGACTAGCAACCATGTAAAGCTAGTTCAAGCTACTTTTAGTAGAGTAAAGCACCATAAACGAATAAAGAACACAAAAAGTCGTCGTCGATCCCCAAATTTAAATATACGTGCAGGCAGGAAAAGCATTTGGGCCACATGCAGCAAGTCCTGATGGCAACAATTCAGATCAGGTCTTATATGAGGTGCGAGAAGACAGCATTTTTCACATTACTGTCTCTGTAGCCTCCGGACAGGCTAAACAGCTCCTGTCTGAACATGTCCAGTTCTGGAGCTGCAAAAAGCTGCCTTAGTCCACTCTCAGACCACTCTATAATAGCAGTACCTCAGTGACACACACAGTCCTACCACTGTCATCATCATCATCGCAGGATGATTCTCTGTCTGTCTGTCTGTCTGTCTGTCTGTGTGTGTGTGTGTGTGTGTGTGTGTGTAGGAGTGAGTTTATCCTGTCCGTTCAGTCTTGAGAGTCTTCAGTTGAAGAGGATTGATTCCGGGTCTCTGTTGGCCATCTGCGCCATGTGTTTAAGAATGTCCTTTTTAGTGATGATTCCCAGCAAACGCCTGAATGAGCGACAGAAAAGAGAGGGAGAAAAAGGATTCTTGTTTGTAATTAATACAGATCATTGATCTGTCAAGACACACAAATCAAACAGACAATTATTGAGCAGATGTTCCTAGTTAGCATACGCATGAGAGAGACTATGTTTGCATAAAGATTCAAGGCCACATGTTCGAAGTGTGTGCGTTTCCAGTCTTCTCTCTTTTTATATTATTTCATTTACTTTTATTGTCCTAGATAGACTTGAAGGGTGGATCACAGGGATTGAGAAAGACAAACAGCCACATTGATCCACTCAACATTGGGACCGGATTAAAACACACTTTAAAAGGCAAAAACAACTCCAGCAAGAATCAGCTTCAGCTGTTTTGAGCAAATATAATAGAGAGCACTCTTATGAGAAAGGACATGTGTGGAAACAATTTTTTTTTTACAGAAACTAGGACTATAGAAATATAGAATAATAATACTAAAATACAACTACACTTGACATTACTATAAAAGTTGTATTCATTATTAAAAATGTACAAGATTTTATACATTTCCACAATTTCCAGTTCTAAAAATCACACTTTTTGCAAGCTATTCTAGGGTTGCCCTATTTGATTGTGAAGCTGTCTCATATTTTGTCCAAATCTGTATCTTAGAAGGTTACATAGTGCTACCACATGTTGCCTTTAATGCTTGGTAGATCACTAGGTTTTGAAACAGAGCGAACATGTAACTTTAGAAGTGAGATTAAAATCTTTCAGTCAGACCTGCGTTCATACAGCTATAAATGAGACATGATCACTAAAATGCTGTTTATTTCTCCTTGGCCCAGTCGAATCTAGCTTGAGATCGCAAAAAAAAAATTCTGCTTCTCATGGGAGAAAACCAATATCTGCTACACTTGTATCTCATCTACTGCTTTAAAGAGACCACACAGTTATACAAATCATCCATGTCGACAGACTCACCCGTTCTGAATGACGAGGCACTGCCGCAGGCCAAGCTTGCGGAAGATGTCCACCACGATTTCCATGGGCGTGTGCACAGTGACCGTAAAGGGGCTGAGGTCCAAGATGCTGCGCAGTTTGACTGCAGGAGGAGCGCCGGGTGACGCGGGCGATTCACATTCAGTGAACAGGACAGCAGACACGCTGACCACACCATCCTGATGCCGCCGTGCATTTTCTAAGATGATTGAGTGGAAAAAACACAGGGATATTAGCTGGATAAACTCAACACTAATCCATCAATTACAACAAGGGTTAATTAGCCAAACTCCTGTGGCAGCCCATGGACCATTCAGAAACCATCATATTGCACACAAAACTGGCAGGAACTGCTTCCAATCTGATTGGCTGACCGCTCTAAAATGTCTTGGATTCAGGGCACACCGGTTTTGAATCAGTCATCCAGGAAACAAAGTTGCACTTACAAGGCGCCAGGCTGACAAAATCTCTGCGGTATCAACTCTTCGACTGATAATCAAGGGTTTGGTTTGAGAGACATTTAGTAGCAAGAAGAAAGAAAAAAAAACAGCTTTCAGTCTGTGGTCGGTTGCTTTAGTCAGTTGGCTGGTTTAGACTCCTACTGATGTCATGATGGCAACTTGATGACATGAAGAAATGATGAAGCAACTTTTAACAGAAAGCAATATACAACATAGAAATATTGTAAAAAATTGTTTATTTTATTCTGTTTTTTTTTTTAATCATACCCTAAAAGATACTGCAGCACTGTTTCCTCAAAAATATTAAGCAGCACAACAGTTTTAAACACTGATGAAAATATTAGTTTCTTTCAAATAACTGACCCTAACCTTTTGAATGGAAGTGTGTGTGTGTTTGTGTGTGTATTATATATATATATATATATATATGTATGAAAGTATCCAGCCATGGAATATGAAAAATAGCGACATTTATCGAAGAAGATACAAGATACAAGAAACATTGCCCCCATAGATACATATACATGTATAGGTAGATTCCTCATTTGACCGCTCCAAGCACGTAGACGCATCCGCCATCTTGGTCAATATGTCATCACTCAATAAAAATCAACGGGTTTCAAGTTGCAACAACATTGCGCAGCATCTGGTTGTAAAAACCACCTAAATTTAAATTCCTGAAGAAACTGGATAAACTTTCACAGGTAAAATTGTGTTGGTTTGTGTTTTTAAATTCTATTAACTCAAAAATTACAGGTTTTTAAACTAAAGTACCTTTTTAACGCCTTGTTAGCTAACGGCTTAGTCTTGTTGTATTGTGTTAGTTTGGCAAAAGCATCTTCTGAAGTCTACGGAATATATATATTGTTCATGCGTACAACTACAGTTACAGTGAAGATGCACCGGCAACTTGCTCTCGAGTGTTCACGAACCGGCGGTGACATTCCAATATGGTGGACGACTTGCGTATAGCGGCCCATAGAAACAGTCGCTAATGAGGAATCTACCTATACATATCTATGTCGGTCCCCTTCAAAGTAGGCGCCTTGGGACCTCACACAATTCTCCTAGCGTCTCTTCCACTGTTCAAAACAGACTGCAAAATCCTTTGTTATAAACGCCATCAGCTGCCTCGTCTTACTTTCCTGAATCTCATCGACGGTCTGAACTCTCTTCCCTTTCAAAGGTGTATTTAGCTTTTGGAAAAGCATCCCATTACATCTCTCATCTCGTATTTTTCATATTACATGGCTGGATACTTTCCGGACAGCCCTCGGCTCGTATATATACGTATTGCCACACACACACTTTGTTTTCTTTGACTTAGAAAACCCTGTAAATAGCGTAAATATGTGAAGCGACCAATAAAAAGACACTCACCTAAGGATATGAACAGATCCCTCCTCAACACAAAGCCCACCAATCTCTGAGACAGCTGTGAGATAACCACAGGAAAGCCGCTGTAGGTGGTATCTGCGATGAGTCTCTCCACCTCCTCTACAGTCATTCCGCTCTGCGTCAGCACAGACAGCGGTGGGTCGCTCCGCCGCGGCCGCATTACATCCGTGGCAAGAGTCTTGTGGCGGAATTCTTCTTTGGCCTCCAGGAAAGGGTAACCATTGAGGCGGATGTGGGCCTCGTAGATGCTCTCGCGACTCAGAGCATCAGCGACCCATTTGCTGGTCATGGCAGCAGCCATGAGGGGCACAATGTACTCTAAACCTCCTGTCAGCTCAAACATAATGACCACCAGAGAGACGGTCATACGGGTCACACCACCTAGAGTACAAATGAGAAAAAAAAAATGCTTGCTTGCTAATTTGACAATGCGGCAAGATTATAGCTAGATGTATTGATTTAACAGTCTAATGCAAATTATTAGAATGTATGAAGGAAATAGTTCATTAAAAATGCGACTAAGCAAGGTCAGGCTACATTCCTGAAATCCACCATTAAATGCTTCTGCATGGAAGACTGCGTAGGGCAATTTGGTTGCGAAGTGAAAAATAAATCATCTGGAAAATGAATGTTCAGTAGATTTTCGCAGAGATGCAGCTGAATCACCCCTCACCCAGACAGGCTGCTGCGCCCACCATGGCGTACAGGCCCGGCGTGATGCAGTCTGCCCCTGGAGAGCACCAGCCTCTGAAAATGTCCCGTTCGTGGTTGTGTACGGCTAGCTGCTCCATGCCCACTCCAAGAAGTCTGCCTGCTATGGCCCCCACCGCCATACTAGGGATGAATAAACCAGATGGCACCTGGAGAGAGAACAAGGAGCAAAACCGAATTAATAGATAAAGATGGCAGAGCTTACTTGATATTTTCACAAAGAGGTTATATTTTTTGTGAAGGTTTAAAGTATTTGGGATAAATCAGAAGATTTTATTTCTGTTTTATCAGTCTGTTTTGGAGAGTTTGATAAGATATGGTATTGCAGCATGGGATGGAAACCAGACTGTCCAATCAAAACCAAAACTTGTCAACTTGTACATACTATTTAAAAAAATAATAGGTTGGGAAGTGAAACGACTTAGACAGGAGATGTATGAGGTATCTGTTTTAAGACAATAGAGAATTGCAAAAATTAGATGCCATACTGGTATACTGTAGCTTTTTAATATATTTTGGTTAGGAGTAATTTATTGTGTGTTATGTACTGTGCTATGTGAGTCTAATGCTATGTACTGGCCATGCCATGGTTGTCCAAGATGGATTTCCCAGAAATAGGACAATAAAGTATATTCTATTCGATATGCATTCAGCACTTTTGACAACTTCAAGACATTTTGAAGGTTTTATCGTGACTGGATTGAATCAATACCCAAATTTTGCCTTTCGTATGATGCCGACCTCTGGTACCTCATATTAATAATAAATAGATACCCTTCATACGTCTCAGACGATGAAACCAAAGAAAAGTAACTAATAATAATAATAATAATAATGTAATTGTTAGGTCCAAATATATTTGGAATACATGTAGAGGAATATATCAGTGTAGGTATTGTTAATAAAATTGAGAAGTTATTAACTATAATCGCTTTCATTAATTGCAATAAAGCTGAAATAAATTAAAATAGAAATATTAGATAAATAAAATAGAAATATTAGATTAAAACACACACACACACACATATATATATATATATATATATATATCAATTTCATATTATTTTTCCCTCATTAAAAAGGCTGAAATGGGCATAATAATTGCTCAGTTTCTAAGTTAAAAAAGCCCACCAAACCAACATTTGGGAAACCCATTTTGTTGTCACATGACAAAGCCATGAAACAAAAAATTTTCCAGAATTATATTGTACCATGGTAAATTTGTGGAGTTATTATATAAACCATTATATTAACTCATTTTGTGGTTTTATTCTCAGAACTGCCCCGATATTCTGTTTTGCCTTCAAAAATGCATCTAGGTCTGTTACCTTCATGCCAAATGTAGCCACAGTGATGAACATCTTAAAGACCAGTGCAAGAGCTAGCTGCCACATAGCTGTATAGAGCTTTGGCCCTGCCAGCCGAGCCCCCAGACCATTAGCGGCAGTGGCATTAACACTTCCAGATGTGCTTCCACTGTTGCCGGTGTAGTCGCAGAGTTTCGATGAGTCCAGCAGACCACAGTCATTAAACAGCTCAGAGATCAGTTCGCTGCTGCTCATCCGAGTGTACTCGATTGGGAACGCCAGCAACGCTGTGAGCAGGGTGACCACCAGAACCTCAATGACAGGGTAGTGGCCAAGGCGGGTGTTCTTACGGAGACGGCACCAAGCAATGTTAGCATGAATAAAGAAAGCCCCCCAAAGGCCACCGAAGATGCCCAGAAGCACAAAAGGTATGAGTTCTAGAAGATGCCAGGGAGTGTGGAACTCCACGTAGAAAAGGACCAATCGGCTGTTGCCGAAAGGATTAATGGAGCGAAGGGTGAATGCTGCAACCAGAGCAGCGAAGAACGAACGCCACAGAGTCTTCAGAGGGAAGTAGTAGCTGACCTGAAATAGAAATGCATGAGAAATATGGTCACTGTCAGATGTTAAAACAACATTCAGCAGATGTTTTCACAGTTTATTTATGATTCAGCATTCACTACTGTTAAAAAGGTTTGGGGTCAGTAAAAAGTCAGTACAAAATTAACACTTACTCATTAAAGGACACATTAAATGGATCAAAAGTGACATTGAGGGCATAAGGCTGTCCTACTGAACTTTATATTCATCAAAGAATCCTGAAAAAAAATGGATCACAGTTTCTGCAAACATATTAAGCAGCACAACTGTTTTCAACTGTGATAAAACTTTCTTGAGCACCAAATCAGTGTATTAGAATGATTTCTGAATGATCGTGTGACACTGGTGACTGGAGTAATGATGCTGAAAACTACATTTTAAAATATATTAAAATGGAAAACAGTTACTTTTAATTAGAATAATATTAAACAATATTATTGTTTTTACTGTATTTTTTTTAAATAAATGCAGCCTTGGTAAGCATAAAAAGACTTTAAGAACATTAAAAAACTCCTTACCAACACCAAACCTTTTTAAATGGTAATGTATATGTGAATCTTTTGTTTTATCCAGCTGTATTTACTCAGTGCAACGTATGACATCCAAGTGAAAAAATATAACAGCAACAAAAAAACAAACAGAATCAGTAGGATAAAGGATCACCACTTTGTGTCAGTATTTTGTTGAACCACCTTTTGCTTTAATTACAGCCTTTAGTCTGTTGGGATATGCGTCTACTAACTTTCCACATCTAGTCTTTGCAATATTTCCCCACACTTCTTTGCAGAACTGCTCAAGTTCATTTAACTTGAGCAGTTGATGGTGACCGTTTGTGTACTGCAGTCTTCAAGTCATTCCACAGATTTTCAATGGGGTTCAAGTCTGGGATCTTACTACACCATGCAAGGACATTCACCTTTTTCTCCTTCAACCACTGTGTGGTCAGTTTTGCTGTGTGCTTTGGGTCATTGCCATGTTGGAAGGTAAACCTTCTTCCCATTGACGGCTTTCTGGCAGAGGGTAGCAGATTTTCCCATCCCATTTGCCCCATCCATTTTTCCTTCTATCCTGACAAGTGCTCTAGTCCCTGCTGCAGAGAAACACCCCCATAACAGGACATTACCCCCTCCATGCTTTACTGTAGGAATGCTGTTATTTGGATAGCCTCTCTGACCAGTTTCCTCCTGGCTCTTTCATCCAGTTTGGAACGACATCCTGATGCAGGGACGGTCTGTGTTGTACCACATACCTTCCAATTCTTAATAATAGACTTCACCGTGCTTCTAGGCATTGATAAAGCCTTTGAATGTTTTTTTGTATTCATCTCCTGACTTGTGCCGGTCCACAACTTTATCCCGGAGATCTTTTGACAGTGCCTTGCCACCTATAGGTGCTTGTTTGCTTCAGTTGCACTACCAAGGACTGGTAGAACCAAGGACTAAAATGCTCCAGGAAAACTCTTTTCATGCTGAGCTAATCAAAATGACCACAGCTGATCACAGTTGAAAGTTAAATGGCTTTGTGTGCCACTGAGAAGGTGATTAGCTGCACATGATTGAGTTTACAAGTCATTTTTAGGA